CTTAAACAAATTAAGAAGATAGTGATAGTTTCGATATGATAGATCAATTGAATGATATGATCCCAAATAATGTTAACTCCGGAACATGTTTATCCTACTTTACGGTAATTGAAGGCACTACATTTATACCCCAAATTAGGGTATCCAAAGGCTAAACACATGCAAAATTTACATCAGCGGGTCTTGATTTATTAGCAACAGACAAGGACGGACACAGAGTCGAGAAATTACAACGTAAGACGATGGCGTATTCGCACCCACATATGAATATGTACGCTATAAGGAAAGGGGAAACTAAAGAACTACGTAAGCGTTTCATTCACAAATCGAAAGCGAATGAAAATCGTTGACACTTGAGATCGGTTTAGATTTATATGTATTTCTCTTCGTATAAATGAATCAATTAAATGGCAAAAGAACGGGCAGAAATCTGTTGTCCAAATTTGGACAAAAGGAGTGGTCACATATAACGGATATGGGAATGGGCCAAAAGCGAATTTAGTCATCTATTTCTGCATGAATCAATCACAATAGATTCCACAGATGTGTGTTTCTATTCACAATGGGTTTTATTTAAACATGTCATTCATTTCGAGTTCCGTTTTTGCCAATTGAATGACGGATCAATGCAAAAATACCACCGTACGCTTCACTCCCTAGTGATATGGTAGTAGTACTGGTATTACTTTATTAATAGTTAGCTCTCGCTCCCACACTCCACCCCTCTCGCTCGCTTCCAATTGCACGTGTTGGGGCCGCTGCAGCAGAAGAAACAACAACAACAAAGGCCTCCACGCCGACAACGGATTTTGTTGGATTTTATTTTTGGGTCTTGAGGCTTCTTCGCTTTTTATATTCTTCTTTATGTTTTTCCGATTTTGGAGGTAGCTCGCCATGTGAAAGGAAATAATTACTTTATTTGTTGTTTCTGTGTGTATTGCGTACAGTCGGGGTCATAATAATGGAGGAGGCCACTCCAATATATAGAAATTTTGGTGGTATTTGAAAAAATAATCAAAATATTAAAATTGGATTTAAAATCGAACGATCCTATTTGAATTTTTTGTGATCCAGGAGAGATGAACTGGTTCCTAAGTTCAAAATAGTTTATAGCTATACTTATATCTATTGTTTTTAGTTTTTACTTGGAGATTTTACTATTCTCTTCTTATCTCAAACCCAATTAATATGGAATTTATTTATTTTCTGAAATTTCTAAAAATTACAATAAATCAAACTTTAAAATTCTCATCTCTAAAAAATCTTTCTCAATAAAAATGCATTAAAACCTCTATTATTTTAACCGCATTTGTTTTACCTATTATGAATGTGTGAGCAAGATTGTTGTTATGGCTGTGTTGCTTTTGGGTTGATTTGGTTGCCTCTTTTTCTCTGTTGCCAGCTGGGCTGCATTTCAAACAATTTGGAAATTTGAAATTGTTTGCAAGCTTTTATTGGCCAATGCTGCCTCTTCTTATTGGCCTCCTCCCCCAACTTTGTTCCCCGAATTGCCTGCGTCTAAACAATAATTAACAGTAAATGAAAATGGGCAGGAAATGCGAGAGGCCGCCGCTTGTAGGTCAAGAAGCATTAGATGGGCAAAGGTATAGGCCATTATTTCCCCAGTCGTTATTAGTGTATAGTATAGTATTCTGGCCACTGTTGCAATAGATGCCATTTACCTAACGGTTCGCTCCATGCAACTGCCATAATGACGCATAATTGCCCAGACAGAAATCATAAATCGCAGAGATCGCCAATTGAGAAAGTGAGATCAGTGACAAATCACGCGGGCAATTTGAGCGCAGCTTTAAGCGGTCACATCCGTTTTGCAGATACACTCAGTGCAGAACATTAGACAAATTTGCACATTTAATCAAAGACAATTGTTTAATTGCTCAATTACGGCAAATAACTGGAGTACGAGCAAGGAAATGGGAACGGGACAAGTGCAAAAACAAATAAAACGGAGGATGAGACACCTACGCGAACCATGTGTCATACAAAAAAAAGTTAGGAAATAAACTAAAAGTAGATAATAAAACTGCAAATGAGGCTAAAATTGTTGTCGAAATAGGAATTAAAATCATCTAGCATTTTCTTAGTTTTATTGTATAGATATCTATGCTTCTATTTCATAGTGAAACTCAGTTTTGTTCAAGTTACAGAAAAATGAACTGGGGGAAGTTCGGGATCGCTCTTTATCTGGGCTCTCTATTTACGTTTCCAGAGTAGGATGGCAATAGCCATGGAAAGACACTCGTCAAGTGCGACTATTGCTGGTGTTTTTGCTGTAGCCCCTGCACTTCCTACTAGGAAATTCTCCAGAACTCAGAATTATGTGCTGCAGCAGCGTTGGCAAGTGTCATTTGAGATCCAAACACAAAGAGACAAACAGCAGCTGCTCCCCAATGGACTTGTGTGTGTGTCAGAGAGTGGATTTTATTTGAAATTCAAACTCTTTTTATGGTACCCAGTGATTATAGGGTAGCTGAGGGTATTATAACAAGGAAAACCGGAAAGAAAACTGCAGAGAAAATAAGGAATATTCCTTAACTGAGTGTATTACAGCGTTATTTCAATGATAGTTATAAAATATTCCACTTCTTCTCTTTATCCTAACCATTATGTGAATCTAAAATCAGTTTTTGAAGAGGTATCAACTTGTCGAACATGTCATGTTCTTTTACCGCCCCTGGTTACCAGTAAAAATCATAAAATCGCAGTCGCAACAGCTGTAGGAAAACTATAAACCACTTTGGGAAATGCGTTTGGGTAGGGGTGACCGGAGGAATCTATTTTTTTTTGTTTTTGGCAGGGCTACGCCTCTGAACTCTGCGGCTCCCAAAACTCCTGGATGAACTTTTGTGCTCGATTTTCCAGTTGCCAAAAAGCGCCGGAAATTGCTGGCAACTGTCGGCGGTCGCCGGATCGTCGACATATATGTAAAATATTACCCCCTTCTTTATGAAAAATCAACCTGATTTCACAGCACACAGCGTCGAAAATTACATAATCGGCTGGGCAAATGGGAGCATAGTGATATAGAAATTGTGCCAAATTGCAACTGCAGATGATAATAACGATGATTTATTTCTCCCCCCGGTGAGATGTGTTCATATTTTTCCAACAATTTTCTGGAAACAGCGTGTGGCTAATTTCGCCCAATTTTCGCTGTTTCTTCAGCCATGAAAAACATTTCAATTCTTGTACATTTCATTTTTTTGGATTTTCTTGGCCCACCAACAGAGGTATTCTCTGGTTGTTTCGGGTTTCCCGAGGGTTTTTCACCTTGGCTACCTGCAAATACCTGACCCCGAAAAATAAAAGAAAGGCGTGGGAATCACCGAAAAATATGTGGAGTGAAGTGAAGAAATGGGAAAAACGAGAAAATTGCAATTGCAGGACGTGTGAAAATGTGCGGAAGACAGGAAACGTGGGCAGGACCGCTCGCAGATTTCCCGGAACGGCCTTGGCCAATGGGAAAGCAATTTCCCTTTGATTTCGACTCACCTTTTGTCGGCAAAGAGGGAAGTATAGATGTTCCGTATCCAAAGAAGAAGACGCTCCAAATCTCCAGAAGAATTCTACACACAAACACTAGACTTTTTCAAAAACGAAGAAGAATTTTCGCACTTTTGCTTTACGTGTTTTCCTCCTGCTGCTGCTGTTGTTGTTTTTGTTTAACGATTTCTTTTTGGAACATTTATTTGCACACAATTATTTATTAAATGCCGCACACACACAGTTTGATCTATGGTGTGTGTGTGTTTGTTGTTTACGTACGGGTGTGTGTGCGTAGAGCACGCCTCGCACACACTGACAAATATTCATTCACGATACTGTGATCACGGTCTTCGCTCTCGCTCTCTCACTCATGTTGCCGTTGTTGTTGCTGTTGTTGTTGAAAAGTCCAAGAGAAAAATAATACTTTGTGAAATGAATGCAAAAGACGCACAAAAGTTATTAACGTGTGTGTTTGTTGCTACTGGATGTTTTCTGCTGCTCTTGTTTCTTTATATTTTCTTAATTTCATATTCATATTTCGCCCATGGTTTTCGTTTTCTTTGCTTTTCTTTTCTACCTGTGTTTTAGTTAAACGAAGACACAAAAACAACACACACGAACGCACGCACACACACACACTCACGCAACGGAACGAGAGACGCAAAGGTAAAGTGGTAAAGTGTGTGCAAGAAAAAGCGACAAGAAACGGAACGGAACCAACGGAACCCGTATATATGCACGCGTTCGGCGATTTGAATGGCGATTTTGATTTCCACTCTGTGTGTTTTTCGGGGACAGATTCCCAGTTTTCCTCCTTGTTGGGCGGATCGTAGTTAATGGCAGCCGAATTTTCTGCACTCGCGATGTTACGTTTTCTTAATGCGCGCACGAAGAGCGAGACAAACTCGGAATCGGTAAAGCGTTCGACCCGAGAAAAAAAATTCGACTGAACACTAGAGCTGGTATTCCATCGATAATATCGATGGTGAGTAGTCGGCCAGTTGGCGGTGGTTTGAAAACTATCGCTATAGTAGCGATAGTATGCCCACCACTACTTTTCTTGTGTTTTTTAGGGCTGTGAAAAGTATCGTATCGATAATATTATTCTATTAATCAGAATTTTAAAGCACAATTAAAAACTATTCCGTAGATTTTAATTTTAAATTGTAGCCCACTTTTTCATCATAAAACCATTAGAATTGTTGTCAATGATCTTAAAAATATGACTTCTACCAGCGCAAGACAAACAATAAAGTTTTAAGACCACAAAGAATCACTCGCATGTCGAATTAATATGCAATTTATTTATTAAACTACTTAGTTTTACAGGTGAATTTGTGTATTAAATTGGATTTCCTCGATACTATCGATAGTTTGCGATCATATCTCGATAGTTTCACAGTGTGACCGGGGACTGATAGATCAAGTATACCGTCCGCCACCCAAATATACTAAATAATATCGCTGCACATATGGTATTTTTCCGTGTTTTCCCACACTGTCCCTAGCACGCGTTCGCGGTTCTGATAGGAAAATAAACAAATAAAATAAACTGCGGATCAACAAGTGCCGGGAAAATGGGAGTCCGCGGCCTAACCAGTTACATAGCACAGCGTGCGGAGATCTACCTGAAGCCCTACGAACTGCACTCCACGGCTCTGGTCATCGATGGCGACAATCTGTCTTGCAATCTTTACAAGGATGTCGCCGGGAGTTACTCCGCTTTTGGCGGGGATTACGACGACTTTTACCGGGCTGTGGTGCAGTTCTTCCAGGTCCTGGCCGAGTGCAACATCCGTCCGTATGTCCTCATGGACGGGGGCTATGAGGAGCGCAAGCTGCGGACCGTGAGCACCCGATTGAGGGGCAAGATATCCGTGATCAAGAAGATAAACCCAAATGCCTCCATCACGTTGTTTCCCCTGCACCTCAAAGAGGTCTTTGTGGATGCAGTGCGAGATTGTGGAGTGCCAGTGATGCGGTGCGTCTTTGAGGCAGACGACGAGCTGGCCGCCCTGGCCAGGAAACTCAACTGCCCAGTGCTCTCGTACGACTCTGATTTCTACATTCACAATGTCAAGTACATTCCCCTGATTACGCTTACAGTGAAGGTAAATTATTAACCATTAATATCCAAATACATATTCAACAATTTTATGCCCCCCAGGTGCTCACCAAACAGGTAAAGGACAAGAACAACGGCAAACAAAAGGACTCACGGGATCTGCGACGCAACGAGGTCAAGAATGTGGAGAAGCGCACCAAGGCTAACAAGATTGTGGCTGGTATACAAACCTCCGATCAGGCTGTAATCCTAAAAGGGAATACTAAGACCTACAAGTACCTCGACTGCTGCATTTACCGAGTGTCGCATCTCTGCGGGCGCAGCACTTTGAGTCCCGAGAAACTCCCGCTTTTTGCTGCTCTTCTAGGCAACGATTACATTGCCCGCGGCGCCTTCAAAAACTTCTTTGCCGCCGGAATGGGCAAAGCAGGCCGGAGTCGCAAGCTTAAGATTCAGCAGAAACGCATAGCGGTCATCCTCACCTGGCTAAAGGAAGAAACCGCCGAGTCCGCTTTGGCCAAAGTGCTGTCGAGGTTGAAAAAGGTTAGTACTCCGAGACACCCACTCTTTCTTTTCGCTAGTTAACAATATTCTTTCAGAACCAGAGAGATTCTCTAGTGTCCCAGGTCAATGCAGCCATTTCTGGTTACTCCAATGAGTTATGCCATGCCTATGACTTCTTCGAGGAGCTTTACGATAATGCTTTTCCTTATATAGAACCCGCCAGTGAAGAGGAATTAAGTGATGAAGAAGAGTTGGCCAGTGTGGATGAAAACCAATTAGAAGGTGAAGATGTCGAGGATCAGGAGGAGGCTGATAACCAGGAGGAGGAGCAACAAGGCGAAGAACCACCTGAAAACCAAGAAGCTGATTCAGGAGAAGAAGAAGAGGAAGAGGAAACGGATGAAGTGGAAGTGGAGGACAAAACCCTACTATTCCCACAGTGGTTTCTTGACAAACTATACCCAGCTCACCTGTCTCGCTATTTTGTGGACCTTATGCACCTGCGCAAGTACATCAACAACCCACAGATCGAGCACTTTCCCTTCCACGACTCCAATGAACTGGCCCTGCCCATCCTAAACTACGTGTTCTCCCTACTCCATCACGTGGAGGGTGCTAAAACGGAACCTGAAATTGATGTGGACCGTTCACCACTCCCTATCGAGTTTAGTTACCTCACTAGAGCTCTTCGAGTGACGAATGTAAGGTATATTAAGATGCCCATTGAGAAGGAGCCTGCTTATGCGTTTGATCCATCTAACCCGGATCCTAGGCATCTGCGAGCTGTGTTTGAAGCCAATATTCCGTATGTGGATACGGAAAAGTTGTTCAGCAAGCTGGATGAACTCTCAGAGGACTTGAGACTGTACTTCCTGGCCATTATCTACTGGTTACATCGCTCGGAACACTGTGATTTGGTGCATCTCCACGCGCTGATCCTCAGTTTGCTTGTGCTGCGGACCATTGATGTAAAAATACCAGCTGAACGGGAGGTGAAAGCTTTCCGCAAGAGATTTGGCAAGACATTAAAGGCAGAACGAGCAGTGAGGGACAAAGAAGCCGCCGAAGGAGTTAAGCGCGGAATTAAACCCGCTCTCCTAGAGCTCTCAATACCAGATCGAATGCAACATGTACCGAAATCGGATTGCTACTTAACCCAAGAACGTCTGCTGCCCCATTTTCATATGCAGGAGATCTTCAAGAAAAAGTTTGATTTGTACTCCACAACGGTCATCCACGCCTTTGCTGAATTTCAGGCTGTGGTCTATCAACTCAATGGACTCAACTCACTTCTGGATTTTTCACTGCCAAGTCCTAGAATGAATCAGCTTTATTGCGGTGCCTTTCTCTACAATATGTACGATCTCCTGAGAAATCGCGCAGATGTCCGCTACCATGTGGAGAACTTTCTGCTGCCCGACTCCAAGATGATGTTTGATTTCTATAGCTATTTGTACGACTGGTGTGAGGAGTTTATTCCACATTGGAAAAGATTGGAGGTGGATCAAACGGCGGCAAAGGCGCAGCAAAAGAAGCGTCTTAAGAAGCAGAGACAGGCAACCAGGAAAGCGGACACAAAGGAGTCTAATGCGGATCCCAATGCGGATATGGTCAAGGATGCTGATCCCGAAGATGACTTCTTTGATTTGAATAACAAATTCTGTTCACTCAAAGTAGCGTAGCTTACTGATAAATATTTAGATCAATTCTTAAGTTTATAATTTCTTTTTAATAAAAAATGCAATATACTTTGGATTAATTTAATGAATTATTAATGCTTAACTGGTATCATATGATCAAAACCTGAAAAACCAGGTTCATAAAACTCGTTAACCTACATTTTCAAAAAATACTGTTATTTTCTATGTTAACCCCATGTTAAGTGTGCATTAGGGTGTATTTGTGCAACAACTGCGGTCACACTAACGGCTACGTCACTGCTGTTATCGTTGTAATCAACACAAAAAAAAACGAGAAAAATAAACCAAACTAAACGCGCCGCAGACTGATCAAAAGTTGGTAATCGCTTAGTTTGTAATCAGCGCCCGTCACTGCCAACAACAAATGAGACCTCTGTGACCTCGGGCCAAAGGCAGGAGCATTGCTACCAGCGAAAACAAAGGCCAAAACAAAGGCCCCAGCCGAAAAGCGGAACGTCATTGGCAGGCAATTAACCAGCAGAACGGAAGCGTAGGAGGTGGTGCTCTGCTTCCCTGGTGTCCGCCCCATCCCCATCACCAGCGGGCAGTAGATGCTGGTTGGGCTCAGCGACCAGCTAGCGAGGATCATGGAGAGCGTCTTCGAGGCGTACCTAGGACCGGACAGCGTCCTGGCCAGCGCCGTTGGTCAGGCGGTGGGCAGCGGAGAGCCGGAGGACATTCCGCGACGGAACACCGATGTGTGGGTCCTGGGGAGGAAGTACAACGCCATACAGGGTAAGATAAAGCCATCTAATGGGTTCTAAATGGATACGGATGTAGCATATTGGTGATAGGATGAGTCATAAGGGGGTTTCCATGCTCGATATCTTGTATATAGTGGGGAAACACCGATATCAGCGTCGTGGGTTTATCTTAGACCACTTAGGATTGTTTGTTATAGATATACATAGATCGATCTTATGCAAGTTTCCAAGAGTTATATGGTTTTTAATCGGTTCAACATAGGATTGTTACTAAAAACACTTGTTATTCCCACTTGTTTTTCTGTTTTATTCAATATTATACATTCAAAACTACATATTATTGAAGCGAAATAAATTTGTACACATCTGTGGATGTTTAAAAATAGGTTTAAGATACATTTTTTAGCAATATCCTTTATAAATATCCTAAAATGTTAAACACAATTTTCTTATTTTCCAGAACTCGAGCGCATCCGACAGGACATTCAGTCCCGCCTGTGGTGTACCTATCGCCATGGTTTCTCGCCTTTGGGAGAAGTCCAGCTCACCTCGGACAAGGGTTGGGGCTGCATGCTCCGTTGCGGTCAGATGGTGCTCGCCCAGGCTCTGATCGACCTGCATTTGGGTCGCGATTGGTTCTGGACGCCGGATTGCCGTGATGCCACCTACCTCAAGATCGTTAACCGTTTCGAAGACGTTAGGAATAGCTATTACTCCATACATCAGATCGCCCTGATGGGAGAATCCCAGAACAAAGCAGTGGGCGAGTGGCTGGGACCGAATACAGTGGCCCAGATTCTCAAGTAAGAACAAATCTTTGTGCTTTGCCTGGAGAATAAATGTGATAACTATTTGTTAATTGCAGAAAACTAGTGCGCTTCGACGACTGGAGCTCACTGGCGGTACATGTGGCCATGGATAGCACAGTAGTTCTGGATGACGTGTGTAAGTGTTATACACTCTACTAACTCCTAGGAAATTCCCTACTTATATTTTTTTCTTACCTCGTAGACTCCTCATGTCTTGAGGGAGGCGGCTCTTGGAAGCCCCTGCTGCTCGTCATCCCCCTGCGCCTTGGCATCACAGATATTAACCCGCTTTATGTGCCTGCTTTAAAGCGCTGCCTTGAGCTAGATAGCAGTTGTGGCATGATCGGCGGTCGGCCCAATCAGGCTCTGTACTTCCTGGGCTATGTGGACGATGAGGTCCTCTACCTGGATCCGCACACCACGCAAAGAACGGGCGTGGTGGGCCAGAAAACGGTGGCGGGGGAACAGGATTACGACGAAACCTACCATCAAAAGCATGCTGCTCGCCTGAGCTTCTCCGCCATGGATCCCTCGCTGGCGGTTTGTTTCCTTTGCAAGACCAGTGACAGCTTTGAGTCCCTACTAACAAAGTTCAGGGAGGAGGTCCTCGGCCTCTGTTCGCCGGCTCTCTTCGAGATTAGCCAAACGCGCGCCGTCGATTGGGATACAACGGAGGACATCGACTGGCCCACCATGCCGGATATTGATTGGCCCGCGGGCACCTCGGATTCGGACTCTTTTGCCATAGTTGGTAAGCGGGGGGATGGTAATTGAGGGTAAATGTTTGTGGCAAAAGAATTTCCTTTCGATAATCTAGACTTATTTACTGTGTAAATTAAATACGCAAGAAAATAATAATGGAATATGTTTAGGAGCCTCTTTATAAATATACTTACTTACTTACCGGGCTAAAGTCTTTTAAATAATTAAACATTTTGTAATTAAGAATTGAAGTAGTGTTTTCCTTTTAAAGAATTTATGTAGGACAACGCCTTTTTAAACTGCCTAAAACTATTTAATGCTTGGTATCCCAAAGTCGGATTCAACAGCCTCATACATTTCACTCGCATTTCACTCAAACCGCCTTATCAATTCACTCCATTTTACAGAGGAGAGCGGCAAAGACAGCGACGCCGGCTGCAGCGGCGCCAGTGGCAGCGGCAAAAAACCCAGTGAGAGCGCCGTCATTTGAGAGGGGTCGCCGGTGGAGCGCCTGCGCCGCATTAGAACAGATGAAGCCCAGCCAGGCGAAACTGGAGCAGCCGATGAGTAGGTGGATGTGGCGTAGGACGAGGACGAGCCCCCCGTGCGGATGCTGCAAATGCAATAAACTAAGGCTAAAGTGCATAATTAGACGAGTGGTTGAGATTTAGATTTTAGTATGTTTACGATTTGTACGAATGCGATTCTTAGCGATTCATAATGCTGCTTTATTGTACGCGATTGACTCCACGGGAGACAATTTGGCAAAAACACACACATACGGAGTGTCACTTACAGACGGACACACTCGCTTTTTTGATGATCAATTAAACATTTTTATGCAACGTTGTACATTGAAGACTCGATGAGATCGATCGCCTTAGCCAAGTGTGTAATTATATGTTTATATTCATAATATTCATATTCGTTTCGTATATTCGTCTGTATATGCTCAAAAAATGGACCAACAACTAAATACATAATACTTGGACTATATGTATATATCTCTATATATATATATGTATATATCAACTTTGCTATCCGCCTCTGGACTCAACGGTTGGACAAACTCAAGCTACACGAAATAAGGAACATTCTCGACTGAGTAACCAAGGAAAGAATGTAGGAGACTACATACGTTAACAACAAACTCGCGCCTATGCAGCTGGCAAATTGACACTAATTGGGCTTGTTCTGTGGTCTCCTGGCTTCATTCCCGCAGAAAGGCAAACAGGGATATTCCAAAATATCCATTTCGATTTCCATATTTCATTGTTTTGCGTGCTGCCGCAGCACAAATCATAAAAGTTTTCCCTCCTTCTATTCGTATTCAAGCGAAACATTTATATTTTATTTATCTAATTATGACTTTCTAAGCCTCTTCAATTTATTTATGGTTTTTCAGAAATAGAAACTAATCTTGTTTAACTCCTCTACGTATCCAATGAAATACAGCAATTCTTCTCGACGACTTTAAGAATATTCACTCTAAAATTTGCTAATCTCAATATCTTTTTAATCATAACAACTAGGATATTGAAACGTAATAAAAAGCTGATTGAATAAACAAGCCTCTAGTATAAAAGATTTTCTTTTAAGCTACCTTTTTTTAATACAGCTTGAAGTTCTTTGAACCTACGCTTTCTTTTCCTAGAAAGGGTTAAGGAAATAACTCTTTTCATGATAAAATGCCATAGAAACCCAAGTTTGCCTTTCCTTTCGGGGGAACTCCAGGACCAGAAGAACCAGTAGAGTAATTTAAACATTCAACAACTATTCGCGGATGTCTTAGAGTATGCAGCACGATCGCTCAATCCGCTTCTCCGCCTTGGGCTCACTGTGGAGGGCCATCTCCACATGCTTCCTTGCCAGCCAAGATTGCTTCTGCAACCGATTGACCACGATCCTGTAGGCGCCAATGATGTCGGAACGGGGTCCACTCTGCCTGGCATTGATCAGCATCTCGGAGGACAATCCCAGTTCGGCCAAGATTTGCCTAGCCTCGAACTCCAGTGCTCCCAGCTGGCTGAGATCCTCGGTGTTCGTGGGCAACATCACACAGCTGCCCGTCTCCGCATCGTAGTTCTTGAACAGGGGACAATCCTCGGCCACCTCCACATTCCACGGATTAATCTTGGCCGATCCACACTGTCCACCGTTGGACAACTGCTTCTCCGGTTCCGTTTCCATCGGTGTGACCTTCTTCTTGAGACTGCCACAGAACATGTATCTTCTGGCTGGGCGCTTGGCCGGTTCGGTGGATTGTGGTTCCTTCAGCTGACCAGATCCCTGGAGCAATAGCTCATGCCCAATCTCGATCGGTTGCAGGAAGTTCTGCACAAACATCTCGTCCTGCTGCCGGGTGTTCATACTTATTGCCGGCTTCTTGACCACCTCCGCATATCGATCCCTTAGAGAGGCGGATTTCCTTAGGCGATGCGATTTGCTGCGCACCCAGAAGATGGATCGCTTAGCCGGCTTGCTGTGTAGATTGATCTCCCACTGCATCAGATCCGCACTCAGTTTGGGACAGGTTATAAACTGGCTGTTCAGCATGTCGTCAATTGTGGGCCGATGGGCGGGTATGTGGATCAGGATGCGTTCTGGAAACAAATAAAAAGGTTCGATTTATTTATAAAGGAAAGAGTAACCAAATTTCTAATAATATGAAAAAAATGCTTCTATATTATTTATTTTTATTATTTTCTCTACTTTGTTATAATATTTTCTACTACTTTTTATTATTTAATTCTATATTTAGGTGCCTAAAAGTATGCAGCGAAAAAAGTATAGTCCTTTTTGAATAAATTCATTGTAGTTCTGAGTTTAAAATATTTCGAAGCATACTTTTAGACACCTAAAAAGGGAAATTAATTTCAATTATTAGGAAAGGCTAGTTTTTTATCAACCAAAACCAAAACTTAGTTAAAGAATTATTCACAGACTTATATTTTTAATATATTTATAGGTATTAGAGTTTTTCCAACCACTTACGTATTAGTCTTATGCAGGGCAAACTGAGCTGTCCGGGCAGCATATAGTCGCCCTTGAGAATGGCCGACTTCAGGCCGGGAATGGTGGGCGCCCGGAAGGGCATGTTCCCAACCACCATGAAGTAGAGCAGGATGCCGAGGGCCCACACATCCACGGGGGCTCCGATATAATGGTCATCGGAAAAGAGCTCGGGCGCGGCATACGGAGGCGAGCCGCAGAACGTGTCGAGCTTTTGATTGGCACCTGTCAAAGAGCATGAAATTGATAAGCTTGCTGACGGCATCAAAGGGTTGTTGACCCCCTACCATTGATAAGTTGGGTGCTGAAACCGAAATCGGCCAGCTTCAGGCGATCTTCCGAGAGGAGCAGGACATTTTCCGCCTTGATATCTCGATGCACGTAGCCCAAGCTGTGCTGTAAATTTAATAAAGTTTAATTAATTTCACAGAATTCATAAAGGCATATGAACAATAAATAAAATCCACGATAAATAATTGATAAATATTAATATAAGAGCAACCATAAATCTCTCTGTCAAATTAAGCTTTAAAATGAATTATTCCCAAATGATAAATGTGGATTTACGTTTGAGATACAATTGAATTATATTTACCATAATTCATTTGTATGCATTAATATATGCGAGCTTACCATATGTTTGACAGCCAGCAAAAGCTGTTTCAATAAAGGAGCCGCATGAATCTCTCTCAGAGGACCGCCTTGGGTAATATGGTTGTAGAGCTCACCGCCACGAATCCATTCCGTGACCAGATAGACCCGTCCCAAGGTCTCCACCACCTCGAAAAGCCTACAAGAAATGTTTAAAATGTAGACCCAATATTAAATAAAGATCGTTTGCCGTTGCCACCTCAGTATATTTGGGTGATGAACACACTCGAGGGTGGCTATCTCGCTGGACAGCATTCGCAGCGCCTTGGCATCGAGTCCGGCCCGATCCAGGTCCACCACCTTAATGGCCACCTTGTCTGCAAATTGGCTGATTAATATCTGATCGGGATTATATCTCTAAGGTTTTTAGGGCTCACCACGCGTCAGTTGGTGGACAGCGAGTTTCACTTTGGAGAAGTTGCCGCGTCCGATGTCGCCACAAAATCTGTAAAGGCCAATGCGACGGCCGATGGTTACCTAAAAAGGGAATAAAATAAATAAGAAAATATTTAAAAGACGTATTTTAAAATTTCACTTGCATAAATATATTTTTTATCAGCCTGTGCAACCTTTCCCTAAAATATAATTCATTTTAAAAATATATATTTTAAACTTTCAATAATATTTGATAAGCAGAAATATTTTTTTACAACCCTTGTAACCTTTAAGCAACTCTATAAACTTTTATTTCCATCACATAAAGAATTCACCCGTAAAGAAACCCATTTCTAGCTGTGCTTTCATCAAACCTATGTCAAAATATGCAGCTTTTCCGGAACATTTCCCTCAGGGACAAGGCTGTTCTTAAGGTTAAGTAATCCGAGGCAGCGATTATTTGATACTCCTCGGTATACACATGTTCTAGCAATTAACATTGACTGCTCCCATTCCGGCCAGAAGCTCGGTGCCCGTAATTTATGCACTCGCGCCCCCGAAAGCTTCCGTTCAAGCATTTCTTGGTCTTGCAATTGGCCAAGGTCAAGTGCGGTACACTTGTTTTTTTGTTAATGTAATTTGAACTGTGCCCTGTGCCCTGTGCACTTGACGTGGCCGCTTTTTGCTTGTTGCTTGCCGTTCCTTTCACCACTTGGCTTTCAGACTGTTCTTGTTCTCTAATCCACCTTTTTGAGCCATCGAGAGGGAGGCGGGCGTTAATTAAGCAACGAGCGAGCGCAACGCGGCGTATACGTAATGCGGATAGCTACCGTTCGGTCACACGCGCATTCTGCAACGCAAATCCCAAACAGGCGGTGAATGAGCTCACACAAAGACAACAAATCCCTCAAATGCACAGGGAAAAATGTATCGAACGCTATACATACATACTAACTTAATAGATCCAACAAACTGAATAATTGTGTACCAGACTAATCCCTAGTCTTATGATATGACTTTTAAAAGTAGTTTTTGGATATAGATACTCGTATATGATATCACTTTTAAAAGTAGTTTTTGGTGTCTAAGGTCTGCAAAAACATTTTGGTCCTAGAAGTACAATGCATTTATAAGAAAAACAACCTTACAACCTGCTCAAGGTATCAGTATACTTGTTGATTTTGAATAAATATACACTTTTTATAAAAAAAAATAAAAAAAACCACCTTTCCATATTCAATGCATATCTTAAGTCTGTGCAACTACACATAAAAGTGTTTTCAAAACCCCAGAGATTTGTGTAACACCCCAAATTTAATTTTTCAAAATTCTACATGTTTTTTCTTGTTAAATAAGTTTTAGGTTTGGATAATATTCGATAATTCTCTTAAATGCAAAAATAATTTACGTTCGTAAGGCGTTTTATTATAATTTTATAATGTTTTAATACAAATTATCCATGTAAGGGATTAAAATTCCTAAGAACTCATAGACCTTATATTATTTATATTTCTAAAAGATACATTTTTTAAATATAATATTTTACTTTTTATTTATGACCCGATACATTTTTTCCAGTGTATAACCTGACAGCGCCATTGCTGCACAAGCAAATTAGCCTTGAACCCATACATAATTGCACCGCGGCAGCAGAGGGTTTGTGTATTAGCTAACACACAAATACACAAACACACTCAAATGGGGGGCACACCTACACGGAACATGGCCCAAAAACAACAAGCGACAATAACCTGGCTAACACTGTGACGTCAGAGCGCTGGAGGTAGGTTCCCTTTCGGTCGCATTCAAAACCTACTTGTATACGAGATACAATTCATCATGCACAAGGACACGCAAATCTGGCACAATAAGTTCATGAC